TTGTTGTCTCGCGTTACCAGAAATCATTAATCCTGATACAATCGAAGTTAGTGCCCTCATGCCTTGGAATGTCTGACAAATGTATCTGCAGTCCATTTGCATGAAGTTGATGATTATAGTCGTTGGTTGTTCAAAACGGGAATCGTACATGGATACAGCACGCGTGTCGCTCGCAGTCTCGACAACGTAAATACGCATCCGATCTCTCATTGGTTGACTGTACGTGTGAACTTTAACCTTGTTCTTCACCCTCCCTTTGCTCCCTTCCCTCTTCCCGATTTTCTCCTCTTTTCTTTCTCAACGCATTTTTTTTCGTTTGACTTTCCATCCATGCTCATCTCCGTATCCTTCTTTCCTTGTTTCTTTTTTGTGGCTCTCGCCCTTCATTTCCATCGTCTTCTCTTTACCTCCTTCACTCCTCCCTCTCTCCCATCCATCTCTCCTCTTTGTCCTTCTTCCGACACATCCTTCCCGATTCATCCTCTCTCTCCATCCCTCCCCTCCTTCCCATTCATCTGACACTCTTATCCTTTTTTACGCCTCCTTTGCCTTTTTCCTCCCCGTTTCAAATCTTCTCCTCCCTTCCGTCATTCCTTTCCCTTTATTCTTCTTCCTCCTTTTTGCCATCCCTCTCCATCCCACCCACCCTCACTCTTTCTTCTTCTCTCAACATGTCCTTTCCCCTCTATTTTTTTACTTCCTCTATTTCACTTCCTTTCCTCCCTTCCATCATCCTTTTTATTCTTTTTGTCTCAAAACCTTTTGACTTTTTTTTTTGGTTTTCTTTTGCTTTTTTTTCCACCTTCACCTCTGCCTGTCATTTGTCCATTTCTGTTCCATCTACTCTTCTTCCGTCCTTTCATTTCCTCACGTCATATTTTGCACATCAAATGCCGTTGTACATTTTCTTGCATCCTCTTTCCTCCTTACCCAAATTTCCCCCCTCATCATATCTCTCTGGTTTGTCTGCCTCCTCCTCTTTCCTCCTCCTCTTTCCTCTTCTTCTTCTTCTTCCTCCTCCTTGTCCTCCCTGCTCGTGTCTCCAGCAGCTGCTCCTCTGCCTCCAAACTGCTGCTCTGGTTGTGCAACACCAGGCCAGTGCCTGTCTAGCCGCTCTAAGCCTCACCTGCAGGCTCGCGCCCTCTAGCTCGCTCGCTCAAGTGAGTCTGGCGCACACACACACGCACGCACATCTCTTTCCTATATTGATAGCAATTACCAATTGAATAAAATCAGAGAAAAAAAATCTTTACCCAGTTCGACTTCATGTCAGACTTTGTTCAAAACGCCTTCATTTACAAAAGTTGATCCATCCATTTTCTAATCCGCTTTTCCTCACAAGGGTTGTGGAGATTAGAGAATGGATGAATGACTGGATATGTACATTAAATATGCGAATTGTAGATCACAAAAAGAGTACAATTGTTGATGTCCGTGTGTAGTGGACAAAAATAGTTTCTTTGTTTTATTTTATTGTTTTGTTTTATGTCACCATGGAGCATAATTGTGTGTGTGTGTGTGTGTGTGTGTGTGTGTGTGTGTGTGTGTGTGTGTGTGTGCGCGTGTACGCGCGCGCACAATCAAACCACCGGTTGCTCGACGAGCCTCTGTTGCAGATTGCAGCGCCATTTTCAGAGCTATAAGTGAGTGCCCGTGGTCATAGCTCTTTGAATGGTACTGCAGTATGCACACAGCTGAGCGGCCATGTGTCCAAACCCGCCCCCCACGCCTACGCCGCAGGAAGATGAGAAGATTCCACGGAGACGGACTTCTTGTGTGTGCACTCGTGTGTGCATATGTACGAGTGTGTCATAGAATGTCGATTGCATAATTATAATCGAAACTGTGTGTCACCGTAGTTTACAAAACTTTTATCTAAGCCCCTAAGGTCTGTATATCGTGCCACCGCCAGGAATGACAGTGGCAAATAACCCTGTTGACCCTTTCTCTGCCATTTGCATGCTGTGCTACCTGAGCATCTTAGTTTCTTTCGACCCGTGAGTGTGCATCCTTTGAAGTCTAATACCATATTATTTAAATTGGATAGGTTATTAGTTGAGCTGTGTGCGTGTGTGTGTGTGTGTGTGTGTGTGTGTGTGTGTGTGTGTGTGTGTGTGTGTGTGTGTGTGTGTGTGTGTGTGTGTGTGTGTGTGTGTGTGTGTGTGTGTGTGTGTGTGTGTGTGTGTGTGTGCGCGCTCGCGCGTACGTGTGTGGGCTCCCGTTGGCTGGTTTAGAAAGGGTAAAAGGCACAAAGCGTCACATTTAATGTCACAAATGGTTCTTTTTTTTTTTTTTTTTTTTTTTCCCGATGAGCGCTTGTTGCCGGGGGCAACGCTGAAGCTTGGCTGCAGTGTGATTGCAAGTAAAGCAGTTAGCTCAGCTCCTGGAGCTTTCTGCTCTGTTTGCTTCGTCTGTGGCGCTGAAGATGAAGGTTCATGGGCATCATCACATCCTGTCTTGTGATTGAAGAGGGCCAATGTCAAAATATGAACATTTCTTC